CACTGCCTGCCCAGAGGATGAAAGGCGTTTGCCGGGGTGTGTGTGTGTGTGTGTGTGTGTGTGTGTGTGTGTGTACACATGTGGGATGGAAGGCGTTTCGCTGCCCTCTGCACACACTGCCTGCCCAGAGGAAGGAGGTCGCTTACCCAGGGACACCAGGGTTTTGTAGTTCTCCTTGACGAGGTTGTGGTAAAGCTCCTTCTGCCACTCATCCAAGTTCTTCCACTCATCCTCAGAGAAGTAGACGGCGATGTCGACAAACGTCACCGGTACCTGGGCCGACGAGAGTCACAGTCTGGCATCTGCCTGCTTGTCCCCACAGTCTCCCCCGCTTCCAGGGGCCACGGGGACCCTTCCACCCTAGAGCCTGGCCCTCACTCTCCACAGCTCCGCATCCCCCAAATCGCAGCCCAGCCCACCTCAGGGGGGCCAGTCCACTCTACTCCTGATCTTATTTTGCTTCCAAAACAGGGATGGTCAACACCACCACCCCTCTTTTTAAAATTCTTTTTAATGATTATTAATTTTTGAGACAGAGAGAGACAGAGCATGAGCAGGGGAGGGACAGAGAGACAGAGGAAGACTCAGAATCTGAAGCAGGCTCCAGGCTCTGAGCTGTCAGCACAGAGCCTGACGCAGGGCTCAAACCCACAGACCATGAGATCATAACCTGAGCCGAAATCGGACGCTCAGCCAGGTGCCCCGAAATTGGACGCTCAGCCAGGTGCCCCCTTATTTTTTTTTTTTAAAGCATTTAACCATATCCTTTGTAAGTTCAATTTCAGGTAAACTGGGTCCCTGAAGGTAAAGCTAAAATCCATGTGCAGCTTTTGGCACCCAGGGTGACAGAGGTGTGGAAGGTTCTCAGTGTGGGTGCCAGGGAGCCCTATCCTCAAACCTGTATTTCCAGTCAGGTTAGTTTTTGTCACCAGCACGTGTAAATCTCAGGGCACGTGCTAGAGCTGCAGGACCTTGACCTGCTCTGCTCACTGCTGTATCCCAAGCATCTAGAGGCACCTGGTTTGGAGCCAGTAGCTGCTGAATATGGTGAACAGCTGTTGCCGGTACTGGGCAGCTAAGTCCCCTGCAGCCAGGCTCACCCATCACCAGGGCTGCCCCCTAGCGGCTCCACCCAGGCTGGGCTGCGCTACAGAACTCCCCCGTCCATATGACAAAGGTCCTGATCTCTGCTCATCTCAGATGCTCACCGCGTGGCCCAGCCTTGCACCGAACCTTTCAAAATGGTTTTGCTTCACGACTTTATTAGCTGACTTTCGCTTCGGGGACACACACACCGCGCTCTCACATCCGTGGGACCGGCCTTCAGCTCGTCCCTCGGTTCTCCCCGGCCCTAACTGGAGTGTGTCCGTCTTCTAAACTGCACACAGGGCCACGGCCAGCCCATGAGGCACCTCTGCACGCATTAGAGAAGGACAGCCTTCGGGGCGCCTGGCCCACTGGCGCCCAGCTTGGGCACCATTACATTAATTAGAAATGTCTATGGGAGCTTGGGTAGCTCAGTTGGTTGGGCGGCCGACTTGGGCTCAAGTCATGATCTCACAGCTCATGGGTTCGAGCCCTGTGTTGGGCTCTGTGCTGACAGCTCAGAGTTTGGCACCTGCTTCAGATTCTGTGTCTCCCTCTCTCTCTCTCTCTCTGCCCCTTCTGCTCATGCTCTCTCTCCCAAAAAATAAACAGTAAAAAAAAAAAAAAAAAAAAGAGAGAGAGAGGAAGGAAGGCAGAAAGAAAGAAAGAAAGAAAGAAAGAAAGAAAGAAAGAAAGAAGGAAAGAAAAGTAAGAAAAGAAAAGAAGAGAGAGAGAGAGAGAGAGAGATGTCTAGGGGCCCCTGGGTGGCTCAGTTTAGGTCATGATCTCACAGTTCCTGAGTTCAAGCCCTGCAACAGGCTCTGCAGTGACAGTACAGAGCCTGCTTGGCGTTCTCTCTCTCTGCCTCTCCCTTGCTGGTGCTCACACTCTCTGTCTCTCAAATAAATAAATTTAAAAAACAAAAACAAAAAAACACACTTTCATTAAAAAAAAAAAAAAAGAGCACCAGTTAGGCGTCCGACTTCGGCTCAAGTCATGATCTCGTGGTTCATGAGTTTGAGCCCTGAGTCAGGCTCTGTGCTGACAGCTCAGAGCCTGGAGCTGCTTTGGATTCTGTGTCTCCCTCTCTCTCTGCCCCTCCCTGACTGGTGCTCTGACTCTCTTTCTCTCTCTCAAAAATAAATAAAAATATTAAAAAACAAAAAACAAACACCAGGCCCACTGGTGCCCAGCTCAGTGAGTGGCCAGAGGCTTTACATAAATTAGAAATGTCTTGAGGGCACCTGGGTGGCTCCGTTGGTTAAGCGTCTGTCTTCTGTTCAGCTCATGATCTCACGGTTCGTGGGTTCAAGCCCCTGGTCTGGCTCCATGCTAACAGTGCAGAGCCTGCTTGGGACTATTTCTCTCTGCCCTTCTCCCACTCTCATACATGTGCATGCCCCCCTACCCCCCTACCTATCTATTGATAAATAAATAGAGTTTAAAAAAAAAAAAAAGACAGTAATATCTGTTCTCACATCCAGTGCTCATAACCTTACGGGCATCCTGCACACCTATATGCCTCCCGCTGACTGAAAGCTCACCCACCACCCATCTTTAGAGACAGAACAGAATTCCTCATTTCCTGAAGCTGCCACCAGACTCTGGCAAATCCCCAACCTGTGAAAACGGACTCAGACCACTTTCTGCATTTGAATTTCCTGCTGCTAGGCAAAAGGCACAAAGTTCTGCAGGTGACATCCACCATACGCTGCTGCCACTTGTCCCACGGCTGCTTTGAAAACTTCTCATGGATCTTCTGGCCACCTCCCGTGCTCCCTGGGAGGCTCCCTTCAAACTCTTCTCTCTCCCCAACCGCTCCCCCCAACCCCGGCCCTCCCACGTCTCCCCATCCGTCCCGGACCCTGATCTCAGGGAGATGCTGGCAACGTGCCCCTCATTTCTCTTCCATCTCCTGCCCGTGACACGCAGACAATCTTTTCTCTGTGACATCTCAGGCTCTCCCTTGCGGGTCATCCAATCTAAAACAACCCAACTCTACCACCTCAAGAGCCTCTACCCTCCCTCTTTGCTTAAAACACACTTGGTGCTTTCTTCTTCACAACCCATGCGTCCTTTAACCCTTTACCGTCTGGCTATGAACCCCTCACACTCTGAAACTACACCCTGGATGGTCATCAGTGGCCTCTTGTTAACCCTCACCCTTTCAGACCTCCTTGAAAGGGCAGATCGCCTTTCCAGAATGTTCTCCGTGTAGGTTTCCACAACTCTGCTTCCTCCGGCCCATGCACAGTTTACTGCTTCCTCTTCCTCCCCCAACCCCAAGGCTCTGCCCTTCCTCCTCCCTGTTGCTTCGCTTTTTCTTTGGCAAGTTCATCCTCTGCAGGACCTCAGAGGTTATCACTTTGCAGATGACACTCTTCAGCTTTCCCTGTTGCCTTCGGAGTTCAGATTTCCACAGCCCTCTGAGTGGCTCCATTTAATCATCTTTTGGGGACCTCAAACTAAATGTATTCAAAACCAAGTTCATCATCTTTTCCAACACGCCACTCCTCCTGCACCACTTCTATGAACAGTCACAATTCTGGAATCATATTCTCAAGGTTTGAAACAGACATCACTTCATAAAAACGTCCCCATTCTGGGATACAGCGGATAGTCTGAGACTTGGGGAGCCCACAGTCTAGCTACCCAGAAAAGACTACCCGTGAATTATCTGTCAGCCAATTAACAGACACACTAGAATCCAAGAGGCACAAAGGATCCGACAGACAACAGCCTTCCTTGGATCTGACGAAGAGAACACGGTTAGCACGGCCAAGAGCACACGATGAATTCTATTACCAGCAACGTTAATTAACTTTCTCATGGTGCTTTATGGTCGTGGCTTTTCAAACTTGTCCTCCCCTTGAGTGTGGGCAGAAGATTTAGAAACTCACTTCTAACAAACAAATTAAGAAGTAGTAGTGTGTACAATTTCTGAGACCAGGTCATTAAGACATTTCAGCTCCATCCCGGTCTCTCTCTGGGATCACCCAGTCTGGGGAGGGGGGATGGCAGGGGGCAGCCACCGTGCTGTGAGGACACAAGCAGCCATGTTGGGAGGTCCACATGGTGAGGAACAGAGGCTTCCTGCCATCTGCCAAGCGAGAGGGCCAAACCGGATGCAAATCCTCCAGCCTCAGCCAAGCCTTCAGGGGACCATAAACTCAGTCAATAGCTTGATTATAACTTCACAAGACTCTGAGCCAGAACCATGCGGCCAAGCTGCTCCTGAATTCCTAACCCACAGAAACCCCAAGATGGTAAATAATTATTTTTTTAGGCTGCTAAGTTTTTGGAGTAGTTTGTTACACAGCCATAGATAACTAATAGAATCAGCTACATAGTGTTGGCCCCGTCAACAAAGTCAATGAATCCTCACAATTCATGTTGCAAATGTATCATCATCTTCGTTTCCCACGAGAATAGTGAAACTCCAAAAGACCAGCTCGGTATTTACTTACAAAAATCACTTACTTATCCTTTACTTCTTTCAAAAGAGGGCCTGAGGTGGCTCAGGGACAACCAAAAACAGACTTGAGCAGGTGCAGGAAGACAGTGGCTGGCAAAGCCCACATTCGAACCCTTGTCCTCCGATTCCGGACCCCATAACCGGCCCGTCATTGTGTGAGGGCACAGGTCAACATAACTCCTCACGCCCGAGCCAAAGCACAAAACACACAAAAGTGCCACGGGAAGGCCAAGTTCAAACACGCAGCACAGGAAAGAAGAAAGGCCAGTGTGAAGAGCTGCCAACTGCGCCAGAGAAGCACACTGAGGAGAACCACACATTGTGCCGAACCACACTGAGGCGGCCCGTGTGTAGCCGCAGTGGCAGTGGTATCCTAGGGGGAGCCCAAACCACTGTTACAACATAGTTCTGAGGCCTCAATAAATCACTGTCACACAACTCTGCTGGCAAAGTCACTGGCTTGGCTGCCTCAGCAGATACGGAGATACGGAAACCTGGTCCCTTATGTGGAAGTGTGAGCTCTCCAGCTGGGCAGAGTCCCTTGGCAAATACTTTCTGTTTTTAAGTTATTCATTTTTGAGAGAGAGACACAGAGTATGAGCGGCGAAGGTGCAGAGAGAGAGGGAGACACAGAATCTGAGGTAGGCTGCAGGTTTCGAGCTGTCAGCACAGAGCCTGACGCGGGGCTCGAACCCACAAGCTGTGAGATCATGACCTGAGCCGAAGTTGGACGTTTAACCGACTGAGCCACCCAGGCCCAAGCAAATACTTTTTGAATAGTGACGAAAGCCAGGTACAGTTACAGTCAAGGAGACACAGCAGTGGTCAGGGAAAACCATCCAAGCAGAAGAAAAAAAAAAAAGTACATATTTAAGGTGCCCAATGGTACACTGCTTTGGAGAAAATGAGAGGAGGGACTGGGAAAAGAGCATGAGGATGGGGGGCGTGGCTTTCTTGTGTTGGGGGAGCCATGGAAGGGCAGACCCCTTGATAGAAGCGACAGGGAGGGGGCCGTACAGGGGAGGGAGCGGGCAAGTGGAGGAAAGTCCCCGAGGCGAGACTGTGTGGAAAGGGGTGGACACGAAGGGCGGAGGGGAGATGGGGTCAGAAAGGCGCAGCTGGAGAGGGGGTCCCTGATGGAACAGGGCCACTTATGTTGCATGAGTTGGGAAGCCATGTGGGGGTCTTAAGCAGAAGTAACTTATTTTTTATTACTTTTTTACTGTTTATTTTTGAGAGAAAGAGAGAGTGTGCATGTGCAATTGAGGAAGGAGCAGAAAGAGACACACACACAGAATCTGAAGCAGCACAGAGCCTGACACGGGGCTTGAACTCATGGACCCTGAGATCATGATTTGAGCCAAAGTCAGGTGCTTAACTGACTGGCACCCCTAACTGGTTTATATTTTTGAAGGATCGCTCTGGCTGCTCTGCTGAGAACAGATTGTACAGGGTGAGGGACAAGGATGAAGACCAGGCAGGAGACCATGGCGACGGAGGCCCCACCAGGGGACGGTGGGAGCAGTGGAGGTGGAATGCAGTGATCGGAGTGTGGATGGCATTTTGAAGAAGAGTCAGGCAGACAGCATTTACTAATATATTGAAAGGAGGGTTGATAAAGAGAGGAGGCGGGGCGCCTGGGTGGCTCAGTCAGTTGAGCGTCCAGCTTCGGCTTGGGTCATGATCTCATGGTTTGTGGGTTCAAGCCTCACGTTGGGCTCTGTGCTGACAGCTCAGAGCCTGGAGCCTGCTTCTGATTCTGTATCTCCCTCTCTCTCTGACCCTCCCCTGCTCACACTGTCTCTCTCTTTCTCTCTCTCTCTCTCTCAGAAATAAATAAAACATTAAAAAATTTGAAAAAGAAAAAAAAGAAAGAGAGGTGGCAAACGTGACCTTGAGATTTTTGGCTCGAACAACTGGAAGGGCAGAGTCATCTTCCAGGGAGAAGAGGATGACTTGGTCAGAACAGATTTCAGGCAGAAGACGGGGTTTCAGTTTGGTCGTGTTGAATCTAAGATGCGTACTGAATCCCACTGAATTAGCAGGTCTACAGACAGGCATGTGAATCTAGCGTTTAAGAAGAAAGTCTGGGCAAGAGACAGAGAGAGTGGGCGGAGGAGACTGCATTCGGGAGCCGGGAGCCGACAGCACAGGGTGTGTTCAGAACTCCGAGATGGAATGAAATCATGAGGGAGGGAGAGAGTGAGCGTAGATAATGAGCCAAAGGGTCAACACCCAGCCCTGGACCTCTCCAAACAGAAGAGGCTGGGGAAAAGGAGGTGAAACCAGTGAGGAAGCCTGAGCAGGAGCCACGAGTAGGTAGGAGCGGAATCAAGAGAGGTGAACTGGGAGCCATGTGAAAAGGTGTTTCAAGGAGGGGGTGGCCTCTTATACGCATCGCCACCTTCGGGGCAGAGAGGACGAAGACAGGACTGACTGTGGACATCGTGAGGGCTTTGGCAAGATGAACAGGATGGAGAGCTGGGAGCAGAAGCCTGGCTGGCAGAGGGTCCGGGGAGAAAGGTCCAATTACCAAGGAACTGGAATACGGAGGACAGAGGAACGAGTTCAATGAGACCACGGAGGACGCAGAGGCAGAATCAGACAGTCAGAAACTCGGGAGGACACGTGGCCTAGTTTCTTCTACAGACACTTTTCTTTTGAAAGAGAGATAGAGAGAGAGAGAGAGAGAGAAAGCAGTGAGCAAGCTGGGGAGGTACAAAAAGAAGGAGACAGAAGATCCAAAGCAGGTTCTGTGCCATCAGCGCACAGTGGATCACAGGGCTCAAACTCACGAATGGCAAGATCGTGACCTGAGCTGAAGTCGGATGCTTAACCAACTGAGCCACCCAGGCGCCCGTCTACAGGCACTTCTCAAGGAAAAATGAAAGAGATGGAGGAGGAACTGACAGATTTAAAGAGACTTAAAAAACATAGCACCTTCTTAAGTTCTGATCCAAACAAATAGACAACAAATTATGACATGTTTGGAAGAACAGAACATTTGAACACTGACTACATGCCTGAGTGGCCTGAGGCTTTTGTGGTGGTAGAAATATTGAGACTTTATTTCAGAAAGAGACTCTACTTTTTAGAGCTATAACCTGAAATATTTACCAAACAAAAAAAGATTGATATCTGAGACTGACTTCAAAATAAAATGGGAGGAGAGGTGGGTAGGGACTTAGAGGAAACGGGCCAAGAGCTAATGATGCATTGAAACTGGATGACGGAGGGGGTCCTGGGTGACTCAGTTGGTTAAGTGTCCAAATGCGACTCATGTCGTGATCTCAGTCTGTGAGTTTCAGCTTCATGTTTGGCTCTGTGCTGACAGCTCAGAGCCTGGAGCCTGTTTTGGATTCTGTGTCTCGTGCTCCCTCCGCCCCTCCCGCACTGGTGCTCTGTCCCACACCACCCCCAAAGATAAATAAACATTAGAAAAAAAATTTTAAAAAAAGAAAGAAACTGGATGATGGACACAGGACGGTTCATCAGACTATTCTATCTACTTGTGCGTATATTTGAATTTCCTATAATGAAAAGATTAAAAAGGCGAAGGGGAGAAGGAGACAGCAAATACAACTTGGTTAAGGAATTCGGCCCTAATGAGCAGCAGAGAAATGAAGCACGGACTGCAGGGAGAGGCAGGGTCTAGAGAGGTTTTAATTACAGAGACAGGCAATGTTCGAGGACGTCTAGAGCGACCGGTAGGAGGACGTCTAGAGCGACCGGTAGGGGGAGGAACTGATGACCCAGAGGAGAAAGGGGAGAAGGCCAGAGCGAGCCCCGGGGTCGGTGAAGGGTGGGCCGGTAAGGCCGCAGTGGATGGATGAATGGGGTGGCTTCACATGCATGTCTTTTGGGGACTCCATTTTCTCAGTGGACCAGAAGGCCGGGTCATCGATTGACTGTGTAGTGTTAAGGATCCAGGGGGATGGTGGGAGAGCGAATGGAAGGGGGAAATGGAGTATGAATTCTGAGCTGCAAGAAGGACCCACATAGAGGATGATCACAGCTTCTTAGCAATTCCAGTTAGTGTGGTTTGGGGTCTTTCTCAGCCACATTCAGGTAGGAATATTCGAAGATAACCGAGGACACGTGGTCCTCTGTAGGTGCCAAGGGGAAAATCCAAGCAATGCGGGAGTTTGCAGACACCCAGGGACCTTGGGGGTACTGGGAAAGACCAACGGAGAGAAGCAGAATGCGGATTCTGCAGGGAACGCTGGAGGGCAGCCTGACGGAGGTGGAATATTCACGGCTACGTTGTTTAAGCAGAGGCAGCCTTGGGGCGCCTGGGTGGCTTAAGTTGGTTAAGCTTCCGACTTTTGCTTAGGTCATGATCTCGCGGTTCGTGTGTTCGAGCCCCGCGTCGGGCTCTGTGCTGACTGCCAGCTCAGAGCCTGGAGCCTGTTTCAGTCTGTGACTCCCTCTCTCTCTGACCCTCCCCTGCTCACACTGTCTTTCTCTCTCTCTCTCCTAGAAATAAATAAAACAAAACAAAACAAAAAAAAAAAAAGCAGAGGCAGTCTTTAAGAGAAACTGGAATCATCCATGAGGGAGCCAGAGAGTTCCATGGAAAGGAGTGGCAAACTGAAATCACAAGTTTTGTTCACCTGTGCTGGTCCTCGCTTCCATCCCTGCCCGTGGGGACCGTTACATACCTTGGGGACCTCCCCCTTGCTGCCTGGAGGCAGCCGCAGCACCCAGAAGTTTCTGTTTCTCAGCAGGTTCTCCATGTTCTCCAGCCGCCTCTGGAGCAGCCCGTACTCCTGCAGCAGCGTCCCCAGCACGGCCCACTTGCTCTCCATGTGGTTCCCAAACTCCACGGCCGTCTTCTCGCAGTCGGCCAGCTTCTTCTCGGCCGTCCCCGTCCGCCCCTCCAGATTCAGCAGCTGGCTGGCCTGGGCCTCCACCTTCCTCTCCACGGCCTGAATGGCGGCCACCACGGTCCAGAGAGAGATCTCTGCTGTGGGCAGCTGGGGCTCTCTCATCATGCGGTCAGGGAAGACGGGTGCCCTATCTGGGAAGGGCGGGAACTGAAAAGGCATCGGTCGTCGGGCATCCATGTCCCATTCTTGAGCCTGTGTGCAGAGCGAGAAAGTGAGAGCCTGGGATGAGAGAGACTCTCTGTGAGGGGGGGAGTGGCGCCTGACCACAGGAAACAACTCAGCAAACGCCCCAGACTCTCGCTTTTCCGCCATGCCCCCACCACCCAGGCTAAGGAACTCATTACTGTCCCTGGCAGTAGCTTGAGCAACTGCCCAGCCAACCTGGCCATATCCCGCCATGGCCACTGATTTACCCACCTTGACCCTTGCCGTGTCAAGGCTGTGGACCTCCCCCCCGGCCCCGCCTACAATGTCACATACTGCTTTCACAGAACAGCCACTTTTCTCAGGGGCTAGACTTAGTGACGAACTCCCTCCGGAGCTGCCTAGTACTTTCTGTTTCAGAGTAAGAATTTTCTCGTAAGTCATCTGACCCTAATCTTCCCAGCCATCTCTAAGCAAGCAGGCTGGGGCAAGAATGATTATCTCTGTTTTCGAGATGATGGAACTGAGGCACAGAGACCTGGCTGGTCATTCTACAGCACCTGGTTTCACCACCAAATGGAGCAGCTCTAGGTGCCCCAGAGGGTAACAAAACACAGCTGAGGGACGTGCTACCATACCCGGCAGGGCTGTGACCACAGGAGCCACCAGACAGCCCCAGTGAGGGAGCCGAGGAGCAGCTCTGGTTCCATATACAGCTACTTATTCAAGTTTTCTAAAATGAAAATAGGCTCGCCAGAAAATGTCACTCACTGGCAAGGGGAGGAGGGGACGTGCCTCAGAGGAAGAGGAGACTTCCCAGTCCCGTCCTTGCTTCCTGGAGGAGGGGTACCCCGTGGTGCAGCTCTGCTGCTAGAAGGTGAGGCCCCCTGGGTGCAAGCTGGGAGCTAAGCCCTATGACCAAGAGAAGGTGGTCACGGTCCATTGGTGACCCCCGTACCAACCAGCAGCCAGGGCTAACGGACAACAGGAGGGCGGATAGCCAGTTTTCCTTAGCATGTGGGATGGGAGGCGGCTTCTTTTTCTCTTCTCGCTGTTGAGGCTGAAGGGGCGCTCAGGCTGGGCCGAGTGGCGGCCTGCTGTTTAGAGGTGACCCGAGCAGTCCAGGGAGAGGCATGCCAACTGCCCTCTCTAGCTCTAAGCAGCTGTGACGGTCACAGAGGAACACCCCACGGCTTCCAGGGAATCGCTCGGTGACCTGGGATAGAGGCGAACAGGGCCCTGGGTGCCAGGCCCTGCTGAGGAAAGAGGCGCTATTTCCATCAAAACCCTCCATCTGAGCTCCTTGAGGCTTCACCCCTCTGGGCCCATAGGAGGGGACAAGGGCTGACAGCCGAAGCTCAGGGCGTCACCGGGCCCAGTTTGCTTTTGGGAGGTTTGGAGACCTAAGGCTGGAAAATGATCCAACACGACCATGCAACTCCTGGCTAACGTGTCAGAAGCGGGTTGAGAAGCAGGCCAGGAGCAGAGGGGGCTTCTGTGGGGTCCACCCACGGTCAGTTCCCACACTTTACCGGGGGGACCCATGCAGGTCTCCATCGGCACCTCCTCGCCTTTTTCGCGCACCCAGCTTCCAAGCACTGGCTACCAAACTCAGCTGCACCCCGAGATCCTCATGGAGCTTTACGAACTGACTGGTGTCTCCTCTCAACCCAGAGCCGCTGATTTCACTGCTTTGGGGCCAAGTGGGGCGTCTTAAACGCTGCTCGGGTGACTCGAATGTGCAGCCAAGTTTGCCAATGGCTGAAAAGAAGGCAAAGTCACCTCTCAACGGCCCCTCTCCTCCGTCACACCCGGTGCAAGGGAAAAGTGAATGACTCGTTAGATTTGGTGCAAGATGGCAATACAACATTAAAAAAAAAACAAAACCTTTTTGTCAAAGTGGCTCCCGTGTAAGCCCGTTGGGGTACGCAGGTGCGCACACACCCGGGCCTGGGGCCCGAGCACTGCGGGCCAAGCGCTCCGCCGCTGGGCGCGAAGGTGAGCCCGGGGCCGGGGTAGGTGCCGCGGTCCCGGCCCCGCCAGGTCCCGGCCCCCTTCCCCGTGGGGCCTCCTCCGGGCGGCCGCACCCGGCGCACGCGGCCTCGGGGCCTGCTGCTCGGCGGCGCGCGCGGGCCGGGCCTTGCTCGGGCGCCGGGGCCGGCCGCGGGACTCGGGGCCGGGCCTGCTCGGGGCCGCCGCGCCCGGTCTGCCGCGCGAGCCCGCCCGGGCCCCGGGGCCCACCAGGGCCTCCGATTCGGCGCCCGCACGCCGAGGGCCCCGGGGCGCCCGCAGCCCCGCAGCCCCGCGCCCCGCCCCCACGGCCAGGCGGCGCGGCCATGGCGCTGGGCGGGGGCTGCACCCACCTGCATGGGCGGCATTCCCTCGGCCATTTCCCCGCGCAGCGTCGGCTCCTGGTGGCAGACCTCCTCCGGGGGCAGAGCCTGGGCCCAGCTCCAGCTCCCGCTGTCCAGCCCCAGGCCCTGGATGCCCAGCTGCTGAGGCTGCGGCCGTGTTGACACAAACTGCATCCTGGGAGTGCTGTTCCCCGCTCGGGCCGGCCAGGGAGAAGAAGAACGTTTTCCAGGCGCCTTCCCCCTCGCCGGGGCCGGACAGCTCCATCTACAGCCCGTAGGAGCAAACAGTCCCCTTCGGCGGCGCTCCCCGCCCCTGCGCCGCCAGCTCGCCAGCCAATGGCCTCCGAGCTCCTGCCCGCCCGCGGGGACGGGCGGGGGCCGCTTCGGGGCCGGACCACGCCCACCGCCGCCCCCAAGGTGGCCCTGGGTGGATAGGCTGGTCGGAGCCCTGCGTGGGGGGTGCCTTGCCCTAACGTCCCAAACAATGCCAGGTCCCGATTTCTGTTGATTCTGCAGGCACATATTGGGCGTTCCAAAGGGAAACGGTGTCTGACCCTTTTGGAAAATTTGCAAAAGTAATTGTGCCTGCAGACGGTATCTTATGGCCTTTCCCCTTCCCTGGGTCCTTTACAGGCTTTACCTCCCACTCTCCCTCTTCCCAATCCAAATTTACCGCGACCAATTCCAGGCCTTTGCATTGGTCTGGATGACAGAGAAGTGATCTGGGCTAATGTGTCAGAAGAGGGCCGAACTCTTCCTCTCAGCTAAGGCGCACCTGATTTCAACAGCAGCCTCTTCCAAAACCTTTAAATTTAGGTCAACATCGCTTTGAAATGTCAAGTCAAATCGGAAGAGGAACCAGGGGGAGGCCCTGGTAAGCTGATGGAGCAGATTAGGGTGAGAGGAAAATTCACTCATTCAGTCCACAAATATTTACTGAGCAGCTGCTAGGTGCCAGGTACTGCTTAGGCAGACGGTGGGCTTTGCAGTTGGGTATACCTGAGTTTAAGTTCCCAAATCACCACTCACTAGCTGTGACTGTGAGCAATTGAGCTTCTGAGCTTCCTGTCTCTTGCTATAGAAATGAAGCAAATTCTACTCCTCAGTTGTAAACGCAAATGAGACAAGAACAGTGCTTAGCACGTAATAGGCACCCAACTAAGGTAGTTACCCCCAAAGATGCCTTATAATTATCCTTAAAGTTGTATCTACTTTGTCTCCCTAAATAAGTAGTTCCTATCTTCTTAAGACTGAGATCTCCAAAGCTACTTACTGCCCTGGGTAGAGGCAGGCCTGACACAGAATCACCCCAGACTGGTAGCCTTTGGTCCCATTGCACTTAGTAAAATAAAGGACATTATCAGCCCAGGTGAGACATGTGCTTAGAGCATCATATTTAGATGAAGAATCATCAGGTGCTTTCTCTGTTAGACACCCTTTCCTGATACATAATGAGTATCTTGTGACAGTTCCATCCTCAAGGAGCTTACAGGCTCGTTAAGGTCATGTTCCTGCAAGCCAGTGACCTCCTTGCCTCCGTCCCCTGCCCACAGTCTGCCCCTTGATTGTAAATATGATGTCCACTATTGTTAGGGGAACCAGACTATCAGAGTCTGAACAGTTCCAGGTAAATTCATTTCTACTAGTGAGACACATTGCAAAGCACATATTCTGATCATCAGTCTCCTTCCCTCTTTCCTAAGGGTGGGAGAGAGAGGCTGACTTAGTCCCAAAGGTTTAAGCCATCTTTTCAGTTTAAGCAGTTAGAGCTACTTCCTTTAAGCATTAAACTAGTCATAATACTAGTCATAATAACGGGCTTACACGAGTCACCATCACTGCACATCTCCTTCATGCTTCTCCTTCAGAGGGTGGATTTTCACAAAGCCACACTTTTACCCCGGCAGCCAGAGTGGCTGCCCAGGGCCCCAGAGATTCAGTTCGCTGCATGATATGCACAAAGCTACTCAACTCAAACAGAATTTAAATGTACAGGCTTCATTGTACTAGCATTGTTCTAGAACCACCATGCCTGGCGACCATAGATCACAAAAAACGGTCGTAGCTACAAGGTGGCGGGGGAGGGTCGCGATCAGGGACACCTCCCAAAAAGAAAACAAGAAGAGCATAAGCAGGGGGCTGCTGTAGCACTAGCCACCAACCCTCTGATGGGTACTCCAGTGACTGATGGCCTGATGGGGCCGAAGCTGTGCTAGGCAGGGGGTTGGTCTCATACTGGGAGGGCTGTCCGGTCATTAGACCTGTTTCTCTGAGTCACTGGGCAACCACGAAGCAATTGTTTAAATTACTGAGGGACAGACAGAGTGAGCAGCTGGATTACGTGGCTTATAAAATGTCAAGTATCGTTCACGTTAACAAACAGCTTTTTTAAGGGAAAGACCCAAGCCTGTGGCCCCTCCGTCCCTCAGGTGGGAAGTGCTTTTCATCTCCTCACTAGGAATTCCACAGCCACTGCTCTAGACAGGAAGTTTGAAGTGACAGACGCGGAACCAGAGGATGTGGGAAAGGCCAAAGGAGAGGGCGTTCATTCATAAATGCCAGAACGTTCATATGTTGTGGTGGGTCATGTTATGCATCAACTTGGTGGGGCCGAAGGATGGCCAGAGTTGGTAAAACATTATTTCTGGGTGTGCCCAGGAGGGTGTTTCCAGGAGAAATTAGCATTTGAATCAGTAGACTGATTATACGGAAGAGGCCCCCATCCAATCCATTGAGGGCCTGAATGGAACAGAGAGGCAGAGGAAGTGAAGATTAGCTCCTTCCTCGAGTGGGGACATCTGTCTCCTCCTGCCCTCGGACGCCACTTCTTCTGGTTCTTGGGCCTCTGGACTCAGAATGAATTGCACCACTGGCCTTCCTGGTTTTCCCGCTTGCAAGTGGCAGGTCAGGGGACTTCTGGACCTCCACAGCTGCATGAGCTAATTCCTGGGACACATCTTCCAGACATCTCTATATGTCCTTTTAGTTCTTTTTCTCTGGAGAACCCCAACTCAGGTGTCAACATTTCCTAAGTATTCCTGGTGCTCCCATGCACTCCACGCCCCTTCAACAACTACAGGCTTTATTTGAGGAAGGAAACCTCCAGATTCACTCAGCTAAGCCAGCAGGGTACCCAGATTTGCACTTCTATCTCGGCTGTCTCCCCACTCCTAATTTAACAAGCCAGTCTCGGGACTACGGTGTCATCCAGGGGCAGGAGAACAGAGGGGCATCGGCGCCCCTCACCCACTGGCATGTCTGCGGTGACCACTTCCTTCACGTTAGAATCTAGGTCTGCCAACCTCCAAGGAAGGGTAACCTGTACGTCTCAAAGTCGCTGACATCCTAAGTGTGACTAAAAACCAGGCAGGGCTTCTGGAGGGGGAGGACACTGGGGGGTGAGGTGACAAAGCTCCGACTGCTTCAAGAGGCAGTGTTGACGTGGGGATCACAGGAAAATATTTTGTATTATCCAGTTTTAAGGTCACTTTGCTCTCGCTAATGAGGTTTGAACATACTTGCCTTTTCAGAGCCACCTTTTGCCAACGTTATTCAAACTTAAGTGTGCGTGTGCCCGCGCACGCACACACGCATGCCCTCTTTCTCACTAACTTCTGAAAATTCCTGCTTTCCATAAAGTTTAGAGAAAATATTGCTCTTTCCCTTCTGAGTTTATTCTCCGCCTACTTCAAATAGGCATTTCATCACCTTCTTTACAAGTCTTGGCACAGCAGATGAGTGAAGTTCGCTGGCTTTTCTTCAGTTCTTAATGACTATGGTACTCGGCTCAGTGTGAATAAACACGTAATTGCGCGGGTGACTGAGTTAGCTACTCAACAGTTGCACCGCAACAGGACCCCAGGACCTACAAACTCTTTCCACGCAGAAGACAGGGTTTGTGTCGGGAATTAATAATCGCGGTATGTTCTCTTGAATCCTCCCAGGGGGCATCGCTTCAACTTTTAAGTGTGGATTTGATTACTAAAAATGGGGGTGCCTGGGTGGCTCAGTCGGTTAAGCGTCCAACTTCGGCTCAGGTCATGATCTCAGGGTTTGTGAGTTCGAGCCCCGTGTTGGGCTCTGTGCTGACAGCTGAGCCTTGGAGCCTGTCTTCGGATTCTGCGTCTCCCTCTCTCTGACCCTCCCCTGCTCACGCTGTCTCTCTTTCTCTCTCTCTCTCAGAAATAAATGAAACATTAGGAAAATGTTTAATTTTAAAAAATGGTCAAAATTCATTCAAAATGAAGTCCGATGCTCATAGGGTATAACACTGGTTTTTCTAAGTGGGACAAATAAATTGTTATTGCTATTGTTAAAGCCGAGCTGGTAATGACATCACCAAGGTCCCTTTTCATTCTTCAGCACACTGCTAGTGTCACCACAATACAAGTGAGGGCACAGGGCAGGCATCTGGACGGGTCCCATCTGGGCTTGTCCAGTACGCGAGCAGTGTGCCACACACCAGGTCTCCGGACAGAGCCCTCGGTGGGCACAGCTGGGGGGGAATGCTGCTTTCCCCAGGGCCTCTAGGGGTCCTAACTGAACTACTGTGATCGGTCAGCAGTTTTTCAACCACCCGCCGGCAGCTTGCTTCCTACTAAATTATGTCTCACTGTGGATTCAATGACCCTTTATCAATCTCCAGTCCGCAGCTCCCTGCTCCAGTAAAGCAGGCTAACTGGTCATTTCCAGTCCAAGAATTCATGTTCTTGTTCTAGGATCTTCTAAACTTGCAGGCACATTCGAATCACGGGGTGGGAGGGGGGGGGGGAGAGAAGGCTTTAAAAAACAAAACACCCAGGCTCCACCCCAGCAAATTAGATCCTGCCTGCCAGGGTGGGCCCTGGCACAAATTTATTTTTTAAGCTCCCCTGCTTATTCTCACGTGCAGCCAAGAAGAAACCAGTGTGACAGTCTCCCTGCTACTTCCCTGCGTGCCTTACAGGCTCACCCTGCGGGAATGGGCGTCCTGAAGTATTACTTATTGGCTGATAAACATGGGATTGATTGAACTATTATTGTTCGTTGTTTTTATCCTGCCGTTTACTCAATGAGCTTGGCTTGTAGATACTGTTTTTCTTGCACAGTTTTTTAAAACTGTGATTCAAAGCCAAGAACTGACTTATGTAGACTGCTTCCTGTACTTCCTTGGTTTTGAGTTCAGCCTGTTGAGCCCAGTCTCTCCAGTAACGTGCCTACTTCCTACTTTGTTATAATACATAAAACCAGTTATCTGGCATAAGTTGCCGGTAGAAGTGAATGTATTATATAAGTCTATCTGACACTTTCTGCATCAGACTTTGTTTCAATCTCTGCTCACACATACTGTTCTCCCCGCTGCTTCCCAAATTGCTATCCTGGGCCAGCGTCTCCCCAGCACAGGCAGGCAGACTGGAAGCGAAGAAACAAACACTACCAGGTCTTGAACGAAGAGACTGCGCCAACAACATCCAGGAAATTGTTTAACCGGTCAACAAGTAATTCTGCAGCGATGTTAACACTTTCTTAGGCATGCAATATGTTTCAAAGCACTTAAGACCTTTATTCATTTGAGTGACCCAACACCTATGCAAAGTTAGTAAAGTGGGCATTGTCCTCATACTAGGAGTGAGAAAACCAAAGCAAGATTGAAACTCTGGCCTCCTGATTTCCTTCCCAAGAACTTTTTCATTACGATAATCCTTTTTCTTAAAAAAGCATTATAGATGCTGTACATCAAGTATTTTGCTTTCTAAACACAGGGGGAAAGAACCCTTTTCTAAAAAGAACCAGTGAATGGCCCCAATACCTTAGATCCATCGCTGTTATTTTGGTATGCCTTCTTATTTTCCTACGCTTTAAATAAAATGCAGTCGGATGTGTATGTGTTTTTAAAACAAAATGTTAGATTGTCACTTTGTATGGCTTTGGAGTCATTATAATCAGGTTAGAATACGATTCTAAGAATGCATACCTCTCCAAGGTGTTGATCGTGCTGTGTCAAAGCACTCTTTCAACAGGGCAGAATCTGGGAAGAAATCATATAAGGAAAACAGGACCCAGATGTAAAATGTTAAATTCCATGATTTCGGGGCGGGAAGAACCATCGTGTTCTGTCTGCATGTTAGAATGAGGAAAATGAGGTCTACAAATGAAGTGGCTTGCTTCCAGTACGTAGATAGACAGTGTTCTGCTAGACCAGAATCCAGTTTTTAATTCCTGGTCAGGTGGTCTTTCTAGTGGATGTTTAGGCATCGATCACCCATGTCCCTCTCAGCACATGGCCCGTGGGGGCTACAAAACAGGATGTGGCCTGTGCGCTTGGTTATTAGCTCCCTTTTTAGATCAGTTTTGAGATTTTACAGTAAATAATGGCTCTGCTATTAAAGCTACATAGCTGGATGAGACTTTATCAGATATTTTAAATGTACCTGGCAATTTTTGAGAGCATTGCAGCACACTCCCTGACGCTCCTCTGATGAGGCTGTACCTATCTGCCTTCTTTAGTTGTTGATTGGTCCTAGGGGCAAAATACTTTTTTGTTTTGAAGAGACAACTTGACCTAGTTGACAGAAGTCATTGTGTATGTATATATATATAGGATTACGGCCAGAGTTTCATGTTTAAAACGAAACTAGAGCAGGGCCAGAAAGGGAGGCATAACACCCTAGAAAGTGAGAAATTGCTCATGTTGCAAGATACATAAATAGTACCTTCTAGTCTTTACACTAGGGACAAGAAGCTCTGGTCTATAAAAGTCCTAATGAAGAAGGAGCCTTGGAAGGAACGCTGTCGCAGGTGAAAGAGATTCTCCCCTGACCTGGTAGTGCCAGAAATACAATGCTGTGGCACCATATGCCCATTCCCAGGTCCACAGACCCGGTGCAGGGAACGCAGGACGCTCCCTCCTGACCACAGCTGACTGAGTCAAGATGAGCGTGTAATCCAAGGGCAGCCAATCCAAGGGTTGGCTGGAAACCTGTGTGACCTGGGATAGAAAAGGGGACCTGGTTAGATCGCGTGCTTTCGAATCTGAAGAAACCAAAAACACCCAAAGGAATCAGAGCCACCTGGTGTCAAGGCACACAGAAACCTGTGGGGACCAGGAGGTACAGAAAAGACAGAATACACGAACAGGTTAAACGGAAGCAAAAGATGGTGGTCCCAAAGCTGAGACATTGGGCAATTATGTGCTTCTGTAGAGCAGGCTAGATTTATGGTCGTCTCTCTGGGCGGTCCTATAACCTCTCTGGATAGTTTCCGTGCTGACACCTGTGTGTCAGGCTCTGTGCTGAGCACTGCACACAGGCATCCTTTCCCTCTAAGCCCTAGTACCTCTGAAACCTTGGTATCATTCTATCTTACAGATATGGAAACTAGGCTCATGATGGTTAAATAGCATTTATTTCTGATGACGTCAGCACTTGAATACAGGTCTGACTCAGAGTCTATGCCTGTTAGGTTGCACTAACCCACGTGTGTCCCTATGTTAAGGCCCTGTGCACTTCCCCATCCTCCTCCCCGCCGATCTGACCTAACTTGAGGTCCTTTTGCTTACAGAGCCTGGCACTTCCCTACTCAAAGAATGTCCTAGTATAGACCCTGTGTTTGTAGAGTTTACGAATCCACCAAACACACAGACTAAAACTGATGATGACAGAGTCCCTCATCTATAAGAGCCATTTGGGGAAAGACCTGCTTTGTTTCACTGCTACTGAGCGGCCCTGACAGCTCTGTGTAAGAAGCTGCGATATGGACTGAGGGTGGGGGCATGGACCAGGGCGTTGTGTCCCTCCTTGGAGAAAACCTGAGCAGAAACTGGGCTCTCCCACCCATTAGGAATGAATAAAGGAATCTGGGTCCTTTATTATCGACAAAGATTTTGCGGACTGAGGCAGTGAACGTTTGTTACTCCCCGGTAAGGCTGGAGGTCTGATCCCGGCTGAGATGAGCGTGGTCACCCAAGTCTGTCCGCCAGGAGCCCCACAGTCTCCCACTGGAACCTGCAGTCCTAGTTACATAAGCACGCCTCCAGCTAGAGCCCGGCTACCGTGTTTCCAATATCAAATATCCAGCAGAAACGACAAGAGTCTTCTTTCGCTTTCTAGACAAGCAATCAACTTCCATTTATTTTCACATCTGTGGCTGGAAAAGAGGCTCATCTAATGGTGGCCATGAAAAGCTTGGTAAGCAAAGAGTGAATCTGGTTATAGTCCATATCTGGAGCTCTTCCAAGGAGATATGCCGGTTTGTGTGTGACGGACTTCTTAGCCCAGGGGCAGACTGACGGAGAGCACATTGCTGGGTTCTCCTCTTTCCTATTTTGTCTGGTCATGACAAACAATCCTCAGGCACTTCAACTGCAGTTTAACGGTCTCTCTCAAGGGCCCTCGATGGGCCAAGTTTCTCCACACACGGAAACCTTTCTGTTGGACTTAATTTGTCCACGGATGCATTTATTTACCCACTCAGAAATCTTAAGCAAACAAACCCTAGAGCTGGCCCGGAGTTCTACCTGGTGGAGGACTGGTGCAGGGGAAGGAGACCAGAACGCATAGTGGAAAACCCCTGGTGTGTGTGGGGCTGATTAGAACACCAACCTCCATCTTTCTGATCCTGCCCATTCCCTGTCATTCAGCTCATTGCCATGGCATTTGAGCCACCTCACTGGTATTTTGAATGTGTTCAACTTCTTGCCCAAGTCTGGGTCCCTGCTGACTACAGTGCCTTCCAGAAAGGACTATGGGATGTATGTGCATTTTAAGCCACAGGTCTCTTTCTCTTTCATTTAACAAGCTCTGTGCCCTCATTAACTCTTCGAGTAAAAAGTGTCTGATGTTGTCTAGAGCAGCATCACACCTAATGTAGGAATCCCTTTCTAGCACACCCTGGCAAATGTTCAAATCCTTCCAGAGAAGGGAACTCACCACCTAAAGACAGTACTTTGATTCTTCTCCCCTTTAACAAGGAGATCAAGGTGCAAACCAGAGCCGGGTCTCCCACCAAGTTCTTAGTAGGTCACCAGTGAAGCTGGCACCCAGGCTTTGGGAGTCCCAGAGCCCCCCCTCCCCCCCATTCGCCCATAGTACTGGTCTAGATTCTAGCTAGAAAGCTCTAATCCCAATGTGCTGAGGTCCTGCTCATCAGTTAGTTGTCCCGGCTTGTTCTACACTGGATTTTCGCATCGCCTTCGGACTATAAGTTACAGCAGGGGGCCGGGTCTCACACACATTTCTTAGGTGTCCCGTGATCCCTGGTGTTGTGACTTGTCACAGAGCAGATGTTTCATAAATGCAATTATCCTATAAGGGCAGCCTGTTCAGACAGAGCCTTCCCAGGAGCAAAGCTAGCCAGGGTAAAACTTTTTTTTCCTACTGTGTTTATGCATAGCTGGCCCGGGTGAAGGTTGGGCTAGGAGATAAGGAAAAAATGGGTCCCTCCCTTATCATTTCATCAAGAAACTGTCCTAAGTATGTGCAGACCTTGTTTCCAGGCATCTGAGAAAGATTCGGGGAAACAAGAGAGGGTAGGAATAAACAGCTTTACAGCCCAAGACTTAGGGCAGTCTCTCCCACCTCAGGCTCCCAGCAAGAGTAAAACAAATCGAGTTCAGTCAAGTTTCAACAAGAACGACTTTGCTTGGATTTGGGGGTCGTATCTGGCTTTGCCTGGAGAGAAGCCAGAGTTAGAGATCGAATTTTGGCAGAAGAAATGAATCACAAGCTTTGTTTTGTTAATTTCTGGAGGCTCACTTTTTTCCTTCTACCAGCCTCATTTTGCAAGTGAAAATTTGTAATCTGTACAGGGAAAGGGACTTATGTCCCACTGCAAAGCCACGTAGGAGCAGGGCCACACTCAGATGCTCTCCTCGGACTGAATGATCTCAAACACATGGGAGCCAAGGTCCCTAAAAGCAGAGCAGGCAGGAAGGGGCTGTCCTTGTCTGTGCATGGTGCTTAGTGTTCAGGGACCCCCAAAGTCCCTCCATCTGCCCGCTGCCAACGAGGAGAGCCAGGTGTGAGCATACCCGATACCGCAAGAAGGCTGCGGTGTGGCACCATCATTTCACTACCGAGGAAAGGAGAGCTGAGGGTCACTGGCACTTTCCAAAACTCCATAATGCTTCCGGAAAGTGCTGTGGTCTTTTCTGCTGACGACTGTCAAGAAGATGAGACACCAGGAATGGAAAAATCAGCTTATTAGCTTGGAAATAAGGAAAAATTTGACATAAGTTTTTGTCAAGGCTCAGGCTCACATTTTGGGCTGTTCTGTCATTTCTCTGTACTCTCTAGATTTTAAAGCTAGGGCTGAGAACACGGGCCCACTTTTGTAACCGGGACCTCCACACAGGTTCCCAGCAGGTTAAATGCCAATAAGAGCCTGAACTCTTCAAACTATTCTTCAAAGTTAGGAACTGTTCTCCTTTAAGTAAGAAGCTTTTAAAGTCAGACTTCTTGCTCCCCCAATATTAAACAAAATGTATTAGAAGAATTAACCTGGGAAACCAAGGAAGGCAGCCTTGAGTTCTCATTTCAGGAGACCCAGTACATTAGCAGATGAGCAAATTCTAGCTGGTATCTGGAAGGGGTGGTACACGCCCCCAGGAGCCAGCCCTCTCTCCTAACCACTGTCTTACCATCAAGGAATTAAGGAGAGGTTCAGTTACACATTCTCATGCCTCAGGATGGGCTTCGAACTGTGGAGGCTCTTCCCTCATACCTGTGTCTACCTAGAGTCACAATCATTATCACCTTATGGCCCTGTGATGGATTACCAGAGGACAAATCTTGCTGTCTAACCTCTCTGCAACATTCGTATATAACATTCTCATAGAGCTTCTACTTAGGTAATACTTTTAAACGAGATGCCAGGCCCCTTTCCAGGTCTTTCTGGGTTTCAAAGTGTGGTGTTCTTGTAACGTTGTTGAGTTCCAAATTCCAGCGTGTCTCTAGTCAAGTGTGTAAGATCCCAAACTCACGGACGTGCCACACAGCAATCAACGCGGAGGTTGGGAGAGGCTCGCAGGCACTGCGAACCGCGAAAGGAGCGAGATTTACAACCCCCCCCCTCCGCTCCCTTCTCCGTACCACTGACTGGTCTCTATGCCTTCGGTGTTAACGCCTAGGCCAGTAGTTTCGAGCCCGGTTAGGAGAGGCCCCGGGGGTTCGGGCGGCTGTCCCGAGGGGTCGCCGTCACCCGCACAGCCACCGCCATGGCCCGAGCGCAGGTGGTCCTTGAGCGTCTGCTTATAGCGGAAGCTTCTGCCGCAGGCGGCACAGGGATAGGGCCGCTCGCCCGTGTGGATGCGCTGGTGCTTCATGAGGTGGTGCTTGCGGATGAAGCTCTTGCCGCAGTGTGCGCACTGGAAGGGCCGCTCGCCTGTGTGCAGCCGCCGGTGGTTCAGCAGGTGCTCCTTGCGCATGAAGCTCTTGCTGCAGTCCGGGCATGGGTAGGGCCGCTCGCCCGTGTGGATCATCTGGTGGCGGATGAGGGCCGAGTGGCCGTTGAAGTCAATGCCACACTGGGGGCAGGAGAAAGGCCTCTCCTGTGCGTGCCCCCGCTGGTGCAGCAGGAGGCTGATTTTCAGGCTGAAGCTGCGGCCGCACTGCGCGCAGCGGAAGGGCCTCTCGCTGGCGTGCGCTCGCCGGTGGCTGGTGAGCCGCGCCTGGTCCGCGAAGCGCTTGGGGCAGTCGGGGCAGGGGAAGGGGCGCTCGGTGCTGTTGTGGACCCGAAGGTGGTAGGTGAGGCGGGACGGGTGAGTGAAAGTTCTCGCGCAGTGCGGGCAGGTGGGGGGCGTGTCAGTGGCGTGGGGCTGGGAGCCGCTGCCAAGGTCGGCCTGCTGGGCAAAGTGCTTCGGGCACGGGGCACAGGCCAAGGGATGCTCACCTGCATGGCCACACTGGTGGGTCAGCAGCATGTCTTGGCTGAGGCTCTTGCCACAGTGGTGGCACGAAAACACCTGTTCCCCTGCTGGAGGCGGCAGTGGGTAGCTGCCCAACTGAGTGAAAGTCACTTGTCCCTCAGAGGCTTCGGCCAGGTCAGCGGCTGGACGTCCGAAAGGTGTCATGGATGCGGTCGGCTGGCTTTTGAAAGCCACGTCGGAAAAAGTATCCTTCGCTGCTGGTGGAGGAGAAGAGAAGGGTACGGGGACCTCGGGGCACAGGGAGGCTCCGGGGAGGCCTTCAGCTTTGATGACAAGCTCTTCATCTGAAAGAAAGGACTCAGAGTCACACGGGTCGACAGCCGTGGGCGGCCGCTCCCGGTACTCCTGGCCAGCTCCAGCAGACTGCTCTGAGCGCTCCACTGGCTCAGATGGGAAGCTCAGGGGAGGGCCGGCCTTATGCCCCGCATCTCCAGTCCCAGGGCACCTCATCAGAGAGCTGCACGCTGGGCCTCTACAGTGCTCCCTGCTCAGAACAGGAGAAAGCGGGGCATCCATCTTGCCAGTACTACTTACATTGGTTTCTCTGCTCTGGAACTTTGATTCTCTGTTGCCTTTTGTGACAAGGCCTAAAATTATTCTTACTCCTCTCCACTCGGCCAGATACCCGCTTCATGACTAATAGCTCTCATAACTTTCCCTGAAAATCCAGTCCACGTTTCTGCCTCTGTATCTTTGCTCATACTACCCTCCCTTTTGTAGCCTCCGTCTCTTCCCATTTTCCCAAATGACACGCAACCACATCAGGCCCGTTTTGTGAGGCCCAATTCTGGCTTCACAGCAGGCTGGATGCCTTATCTAAACACCTAAACTGAAACTGATGTGTGTTCTCCAAACTCCTTATTTCTTTTGTAGAAGTCATCCATCCCACTCACCCTGGAGACGTTATAGAGTAGGCATGCCCAGTCCTGGGGGGGATGGGAGGGGTGTTTGATATAAATATCGGGAAGAGCACAAAGATATTTATTTCTGTTTCCCAGAGTCTAAAGGAACACAGGGCACAGAAGATATTTAAAACAGGTTGCATCAGGTCATATATATGAATGGGTTCCTTCTGACCTTGGGATTCTCTTCTGTGATTCAGATGGCAAATACAGACGGTGCTAAATATCTGGGAGGGAAGCTATCTGCTTCTTGTGCCATCACACTTTGTCCCGTGGGAGAGCTCGTTGCCAACACTTGCGCCTCTCCAAGGACGCTCTTGCCTCTGTGGCTTGTCTCCTCCCCCCACCCTCGTGCTAGGCTTTCTACACGCTCCCCAGATGGTCCGCCGTCTCTCCCCATCCTCATACTTGTGGTAAATCTGTGTGCTCTTCTGGTTCTTCCTCTAACAAATCTACTTTGTCTTTACACCGAAAAGGCTGTGTTTTCTCAAATAAAATTCATCTTAGTTTAATTTCATTTTCATTTCTAACCTACTGGAACGTGGCCTTTTCCCCTTTCCCCAGTCTCCTTCCAAGTCCCCCACCCCCGCTACCCCGTTTGCTGCCTCCTCAGTCAGTCCTGGCTTCAGCAGAGTCTGGACGTGGGCATCTCCGAGGCCTCACTCACCGGCGTAGGCACCCTTGTGCATGTCACTCTCCTTGGCCTCCTGTGGGGCCCCAACCTGGGGCTCTTCCTCTTGTTTGATCCAAGACAGAATATCAGAGGTTGAAATGCCAGGCTCTATTGGTGGGGAAAAGAGAATGGTCTTCAGGGATTGACTACGAAAGTGAAAATGATCAGGCTGGCTTGTTAAACACTATGTTTTGCTCAAATATTTATCTCTAACTGGAAAACCAAAACTAAACCAGCCTTTTAAAAAACGCATACATCTAGAGAACTAGTTCAAAATGAAACCAAATTTATGTATTTTTACATGATATACTCAAACCTGATTCAGTATTTTCTTTAATTTTTTTAAATTATTTATTTTTTTCTGAGAGAGAGACCGCGTGAACAGCGGAGGGTCAGAGAGAGGGAGACACGGACCTTGAAGCAGGCTCCAGGCTCTGAGCTGTCAGTGCAGAGCCCGATGCAGGTTCAAACCCACGAAACATGAGATCATGACCTGAGCCTAAGTTGGACACTTAACCAACTGAGCCACCCAGGTGCCCCTATTTATTTATTTTTAAAGTAAACTTTAACTCATGATCCCAAGATTAAGAGTCACATGATCTACTGACTGAGACAGCTAGGTACCCCCTGATTCACTATTTTTTTTTTTAATGCAGTATGAATGTCCCAGGCACACTGACATTTCTAGAATACCTTTAAGTATTTTCTTTCTTTCTTTCTTTTTTTTAAATTACTTTGAGAGAGAGAACAAGTGAGGAGAGAGAGAGAGAGAGAGAGAGAGAGAGAGAGAGAGATAGAGACTACCAAGCAGGCTCCACACTGCCAATGTGAATCCCGACAGGGGATTTGAACATACACACCATGAGATTATGACCTGAGCCAAAACCAAGAGTTGCCCGCTTAAGTGACTAAGCCACCCAGGCACCCCTGTTTTCATTTTAAAACAAATCATAGTTTTTACCTTGCAGAGGACACCCTGACATAATCTAGAATCACTAGTGCCTTTCATTTTCTTAGCACTCTTACTTCCAAAAGGTTTTCACCTTCTCTCACAGCTTTTTAATGAAATAATGAAGCAGGGAGTATTTTCTCCATTTCAGTAGAGAGGGCCCCAAGAGGTTAAATAAATTGCCAGTTAAGGAAGTATGTATGGTGAAATGCCATTTTGTCAAAGGTCTACTTTAAAATACAGCAGAAAAAAAGCACATAAAACAAGACTGACCAATGAGTTTTCTTAGATGTTAATTAAAAAACAAATACATTCCCCGAATTACAAACTTAGGCCTGTTTAAACACAGATCTGACTCCTTAGAAACATACTTTTCAGGTTCTCAGTTGTAAGCTCTAAAAGATATTATTTAAAAGAAAAAATTTTTTAATGTTTATTTTTGAGAGAGACAGAGTGTGAGTGGGGAAAGGGCAGAGAGAAAGGGAGACAGAGTCTGAAGCAGGCTCCAGGCTCCCAGCTGTCAGCACAGAGGCTGACGCGGGGCTCAAACTCACGAACCGCAAGATCATGACCTGAGCCAAAGTTGGACGCTTAACCAACTGAGCCACCCAGGTGCCCCAAAATCACATTACTTTTGCCTATTAAATGATACAGCTCATTGTTTCCTGAACCCCCAGGAGAGGGCAGAATAGAATTTCCAAGTCCCTCAGGCCTAGGGGCTTCTTCTGGAAAGAAAAAAAAAGAAAAGCCTCCAAAGGTTTGCATATAACATGTCTCATTTGGTCAGTACAGAACAGCTGTGCTTGCTATTCCAGCCAAGGCCTATAATAGCCTTTTTTGGCCTAAAAGGACAAGCTGGCAAGTCGAGAAGGTGCAGAGAGTAAATTCAAACTATATTATTTCTCAAAAAAACCTTGTAGGTAGGCAGATTTTATTTTTAATGTTTTTACTCTTTTTTTTGGTTTGTTTATTTCTGAGAGACAGACAGAGAGAGAGAGGCGCAAGGGAGGGTCAGAGAGATAGGGAGGCACAGAATCTGAAAGAGGCTCCAGGCTGAGCTAGCTGTCTAGCTCGAACCCACAAACCACGAGATCATGACCTGAGCTGAAGTTGGATGCTTAACCAACTGAGCCACCCAGGCGCCCCTGTTTTTATTTATTATTGACAGAGAAAAGAGGGAGACACAGAATCTAAAGCAGGCTCCAGGCTGAGCTGTCAGCACAGCTTGGGCTCAAACTCGTGGACTATGAGATCATGACCTAAGCCAAAGTCAGACACTTGACTGACTAAGCCACCCAGGCGCCCCTACCCAGTGCCTTTTAAATCAGTCAGAGGCCACTGAAATATGATGTGCCCAAAGCAGACCGACGAGCTGGGACAAGACTGAGGTCCCGAGGACCGTCAGTTTCTGCAGCAAGACCAGGAAAACACGAGATCTAGTGCACGCAGCAGGTTGTCTCTCCAACTTCCCACTTCCCACTACAGGCTGAAATGTACTGAACATAGTCCAATCTTATCTTTTTTTCTTCCAGATTTTATACCCACACATATATAAGGATAAGAGCAGGAGGGAACTGACTAGGTTTAAGAAAGAGAATCTTTTTACAGACATCCAGAGGATGAATTTTCTATTCATCAAAACTATGAGACTTTTAAAATGCCTAATAGTGGGGCACCTGGACGGCTCAGTCAGTTGAGTGTCCGACTTTGGCTCAGGTCATGATCTCACGGTTCGTGGGTTCGAGACCCGTGTGGGGCTCTGTACTGACAGCCAGCTCAGAGCCCAAAGCCTGTTTCAGATTCCGTGGTCTCCCTCTTTCTCTGACCCTCATTGTTCCGCTGTCTCTCTCTCAGAGATAAATAAAACATAAAAAAAAATTTTTTAATAATAAAATGCTTAATTGGGGGCGCCTGGGTGGCTTAGTCGGTTAAGCGTCCGACTTTCACTTAGGTCATGATCTCACGGTTCGTGGGTTCGAGCCGCGCGTCGGGCTCTGTGCTGACTGCCAGCTCGGAGCCTGGAGCCTGTTTCAGTCTGTGACTCCCTCTCTCTCTGACCCTCCCCTGCTCACGTTGTCTCTCTCTCTCTCTCCTAGAAATAAAAAAATAAAAAAATAAATAAATAAAATGCTTAATTGCTTTTCATCAATTTCATCAAATGTGACTCAAGTGGTTTTGACTTTTTTGGGGGGTGGGGTATATATTTGCTGAGTTTCAATCCATCGCTCAAATTGTGCCTTTGTTGGCCAGTGGGAGCCTCTTCAGAGCGATTCTATGTCTTTTCACGTCATCAAACATCTAGTGTCTTTCATTTCTGGTGTGACAGACTATCCCACGTTCATCCTGGACATTTCCTGTGCCACACACACAATGACTGATCAGAGATAGAATTTAGCGATCACAATCTGGATAAGGAGGCCAACAGCTAACAGGTTGTTGCTGCTTCTAACTCTTTTAAATGGACAGAGACATTGAAATACATACATTTTAGAAAAAGCGTCATGAGTTTATATTCATATTCATGATTCATATTTAAGATTACAGGGCTTGAATTAAATCCTTTCATTTAATACTTGTATCTTTTCTCCCTTATCTTGAAAATCTTGGACTTGTGTCAAAATAATACCAATATTATAAACAAAAATATGAACTTGATTTAAGATTATTTTGTGACTTTTACACACCTTCTAGAAATATATGGTTAAAATATATTTTATTTATTAAAAAAAATTTTAACGTTTATTTATTTTTGAGAGAGAGGAAGAGACAGAGCATGAGTGGGGGAGGGGCAGAGAGAGAGGGAGGCACAGAATCTGAAATGGGCTCAGGCTCCGAGCTGTCAGCACAGAGCCCGATGCGGGGCTTAAACCCACAAACCATGAGATCATGACCTGAGCTGAAGTCAGTTGCTTAACCAGCTGATCCACCTAGGCATCCCAAATATGTTTTAAAACCACCTGAAAGAAATCTATTTTATGACTGTGTGTCACACATTAGTTTACTTCAGACTGTGCTTAATTTTTAAAATTTAATTTTGTTTTTTAAATTATATAAAATATTTACAAGGTGGGGCGCCTGGGTGGCTCAGTCAGTTAAGCATCCAACTTCGGCTCAGGTCATGATCTCACAGTGTGTGAGTTCGAGCCCCCTGTCAGGCTCTGTGCTGACAACTCAGAGTGTAGAGCTTGCTTTCGATTCTGTATCTCTCTGCCCCTCTTCTGCTCAGGCTCTGTCTCGCTCTAAAAATAAACAGCTAAAAAGTTTTTTAAAATAATATTTACGGGGCGCCTGGGTGGCTTAGTCGGTTGAGCGTCCGACTTTCGCTTGGGTCATGATCTCGCGGTTGGTGGGTTCGAGCCCCGCGTCGGGCTCTGTGCTGGCTGCCGGCTCAGAGCCTGGAGCCTGTTTCAGTCTGTGGCTCCCTCTCTCTCTGACCCTCCCCTGCTCGCGCTGTCTCTCTCTCTCTCTCTCTCCTAGAAATAAATAAAAATATTAAAAAAAATAATAATAATAATATTTACAAGGTTCCAAAATCAAAGCTATAAAATAAGATACACTCAGAGATGGCTGGTTTCCATCTGAAATCTCCTCCTCCTTGTAGAGGTAGCCACTCTTACTGGTTTTTGTTTCAATCTTCTATTGTTTCTTTGTAAAATATAAGCAAATATATATACACTTCATTTTCACCCCCCCTTTTTTAAATGTTTATTTCTGAGAGAGCGAGTGAGCAGGGAAGGGTCAGAGAGAGAGATACAGAATCTGAAACAGGCTCCAGGCCCCTGAGCTAGCTGTCAGCACAGAGCCCGATGCAGGGCTCCAACCTATGAACCATGAGATCATGACCTGAGCCGAAATTGGATGCTTAACGGACTGAGCCACCCAGGCATTCCTTCATTTTCCCCCCTTTATAAGACATACTGCTCAAACTGTTCTGTACCCCAATTTTTTACTTGACAACATATTCTGGACATGCGTGTAGAGCAGTGAACAGACATTGTTCTCATTCCCTTCTAGAGCTGTACTAGGTGGCTGTTTATTCAAGAGTCCCCTACTGGTGGGAATTTGGATTCTGTCCAATCTTTTGTTAGTCAGCAGCCAACCATAAAAGCTATGAAATGGTAAAAAACCAAACCAGTTCTGGGGTGCCTGGGTGGCTCAG